GTACCCACGTGGCAATGGGCTGGATTGGTGGAGTACTGTGCTCTCGAGTGGCGTGGACCCATTCTTGTTTTAGAGGATCTGAGGGTAGGTTGGTATATGTAGGTCAAGGACCTGCATATGTCGTGTGGCTGGGAATCTCCAGTTGGGTTATAATCGGTTCGAATCGTCGTTGCTCCTCGGTTATGGAGACTCAACTCACTATTCATCATCGTAGTTAACAAATGAAACTTGAGTAAGTTTTGATAAAGAGTTTGATATGAAGCTCATGATCTCAATACGGATCATGGTAGATTTATATATGATTTTGATGAAATATTAAATGTTGAAAGAAAGAATCTTGTTAGAGAGCTTTTACGCAAAAGAACTTTGTTTATTGCTAAAGCCTTAGCTTGAATCCCTAAGCCTGCATTCCTGAGTCTTTTCTATTTTTCTTCGGTTAAGTCTTGTTGAGTACTTTTGTACTCAGGGTTCGTTGACCTTGTTGCAGGTGAGCCTCATGAGCAGGTTTGTTTTGGACCGTGCTGCATGATGGTTTTTCAAATCGAAGATGACAAGTAAATGTGTGGCCCTTGGGCAGGGCACTTTAATTGTGTGTTTTGTATTATGTTACTAATGCCACTCGACTACTATGGTTTGTAATAATAATCGAACTTAGTTTGTAAGGTTTGAAACAACTATTTTGTAACTAAGTTATTGTAAGACTTCTTCACTCTGATGTAAATTAATGAATAAACTGTTGTAATACTGCAATGACTCTGTAATAGGATCCTGCTCAGAAAATCGTGGATGATTCAGGGTTCTCCGAGGACACCCGACATGCTTCTTAAGTTACCGGAAACATATGCATAGTCGTCAGCGGTCATTGGACAGTGATAGGTGCATGTGGGCCCTATAATTTAGGAGGTTCTGCCACAGGAGTGTTGGTATTTATTAACTTGTCACTCGTTTTAAGTAGCCACTTATTATATACCTACATCTCTTAATATTACTTGTACTAGGTTGTCATCCCTAATGATGGTGCTAGAGATACTTGTTGGTTTTACCTAGCATTACTATGAGAATAATACTAAGTAGTTATTTATCATTCTATGTGACTAGAAAGAATATATATATATATATGAATGAAAAGGAATCTGCAAGCGCACAGATAATATATCATTGTAGCACTTCACCTAAGAGTATTCTAGGTATCGTTATTTATATTTTTACCATAGGGAAGCTCAAGCATAGACATGTATTGATAACTTATACTATTGATAGAGAAGTAAATCATAACCAATGTTCTACTCATAACAGGGGTAAGTCATAGGATCAGATATATAAATGATAAGTATTGATCAATGATAATGATAAATCACTCGGAGTACTCATTTCTATGGCATTAGCATGGTTAGGTAGAATATTAGAGGAATAATTCCAAAGTCATTCTTAATTATAAGTCAAAGCATACATTGATTCGTGTAATTATACCTAGTAGTCATTGCTAAAACCATCGTCATATTTACTCATAAGGGATATTACTAAGGAAGGTTAAGAACAGAGCTTGTCTTCCTTCGTAACTGTATCCTACGTGCATACCTATATTCGGGGAGTGGACTACAAAGGACTCAACAGGAGTGTCACATCCATGATCTACCACATGACCCGGAATATAGGGTGTATCCACAGGTAAACAACGTATAAGCACCATGCTTACACAATGTTGACCACCCACCCATGGATCCTTAGAGTGAGCGCTATACGAACTTATGCATGAACATGGTGATAATCCAACTATACTTAGCATATAATCAAAGTAGACGATGAACATTATAATGAAGAACATAAATGAGATGCAAACTGATATTGTCATAACAATTGTAGCTAGCATATAAAAGTAATGGAGATACAAAAGAGAGTGGGTACAAAGATTATACCAAACCACGCTCTTGACATGATCGGGAATCTAAGCGAAGCCTGCTTGCCTCTCTCTAGACCTAGCCTAACTAACTATGTCCTAGAATATGGTGGAGCTCTGGGGATGATTAGGGTTTCTGTCTTCTCAAATGACTTATGCCTCTAGGGGGTGGCAGGGGCTGGTATATATAGGTCGGAGCGTCCATCTGAGCCTTTGGATCAAACCGACTTAAAGGATGGTGTAGATGCAACCTAGGAGGCTAACGGTGGGCCCCAGGGGCTGAGCGGCCTGTAGGTGGGGCTGGCCGATCCCACGTGGCAGCCTCTGCCTCTCTGCCTCATCGTGGTGTCCTCTGGTGTCCTTTAGAACCTTCTGGTGCCTGTTTCGCTGCGGATAAGCGTGATTAATTCTAACATCTAGGTCCACCTTGACGGTTTCTGGATAAACCCTGCAGAAATCACAGATTCACCAAAACTCGTGGAATTTATTAGTTTAGACCCCTAGACCTTTGTTGGTGATTGCTTTCATGCCCTTATGCATGTTTATAATGGTTGTTAACTACCGTCAACAAGGAGGCCATGGCGGACTCGCTGGTGGGGTTGTTGGTGGCGGGGAGGAGCCAATGGCGGTGGTTGATGAGGGCGAAGGTGTCGGTGACGGTGAAGATGGAGCTTGCCTCCGACGAGGGCAGGGAGAGGTGTTGCGTCGCTGATTGAAGCCGAGGAGCGGTGAAGCAGGGACGGTGCGTCCTTGCGAGGCCAATGGAGGAAACGAGAGGGTGAATGGTAGCCTGAGTGGGGAGATCGAGACCTCGACTCGAGGTTGGCAATGGCGGCGCCGGTGGAGGATGCGAGCACTAGAGCGAGGGGGGAGCTCAGAGGGGGGCGGATCGGGTGCGGTGTGTGGTTGCGGTGCCGAGGCTACCCTTAAATAGGGCAAAGAAAGGAGGAGGCGAGCAGTGGGGAGAGCTCGAGCTTCTGCGCCAATGGAGGCCAGTCCTTGCTCCCATAGAGAGCGGATCGACGAGGGACTCGGCGAGGATGGAGCGGGGCCGGGTGGACATGGCTCAGTCCGCGCACTTTGCTCGGTCGCGCGGCAGCGGAGGACACGGGCACAGACGATGCTCAGTCACACAGGCTCTAACAAGGGTGGAGAGGAGAGCTGAGGACTGGAGGTAGGAGATGACGAGTGGGACCCGCCCGTCGATGAGGGAAGCGGTGGGGCCGGCTTGGAAGTGAGCCAGAGAGGGGTGACGGGGAGTGGGCTGCTGCGTTGCTCCAGCGGGCCAAGGCCTAGGTCGGGGAGTAGGAGCGCGGGTGGGGAGAGCTGGGCTCGGCCCATGCTGAAGCGGGGAGGGAGATGTGGGGAGATACGGAATGGGCCAGAATCGGCCCAGGACAGTAGGAGGTTTTGTTTTTTTAATTAATTTTGAACTGAAATTTGAAAGCTTTTTAAACCAAATAAATTTCTAAATTCTTTTAAGCAAAATTCTGAGTTTTGTAAATAAAACTTGAGCTTGTTTGTAAATAAACTTTTAAATTCTTTATTTAGAGCAAAAATCGATTCAAACCTGAACGAATTTTGTCAAATTATTTTTCAAACAATAAAAATTTAAGTGCAAGGGCATGAATGCAACATCCCATCAAATTAAATTGTAAGCATTATTTAAAAAATCACGAATTCAATAATTTGATTTGCTAAAAGCCTATTTAAATCTTGGAAATTTTAGAAAAATTTAAAAAATCATTTATTTTATTTAGTATTTTGTATTCACAACCCAAAATAAAAAATTTAGGGTGTGACACGCCGCCACAGCCTCCCACCTTCCACCTCTGCTAGTCCCCCTCCCTTCCCCTCCAGCATCTCGCCGGAGGCAGTAGGGAATGGGGATCCATCGTTTCTAATAAGTTTTTAAATAGATCGAGTCCTTAGGGTTAGGGTCTCTCCATGCCAAGTTTCTTGGTATTGGAAATTTATCTTCTCCTCCTCTCTAGCGACAGGGAGAGGGCAGGGTGGAATCGTTGTCTCCATGGCGGTTCTATTGAAGATGAGGGCAACAACTACAGCGTCAGCAACTTCACCAGCATGACAACATGGAGACTTTTCTTTCCGGACGGCGACATCAAGGCGAAGATGATGTCACCGATATGGAATAATTTTCTCCATCTCTTCTCTATTTTGTTATGGTTAGATCTAGTTGCGATGAAGGATTAGTGAGAATAAGTTTGAGATCAGTCTTCCTCATTCTTCGGTGGCAGAAAGAAGAAGGAAGACAAAAAAAGAAGATGTTTGTCAACTCCGCCTACAGGGATGTTGGCCGTCGTTCGTTGGGCATTTGTTCTCTGGCTTGTTGCCGAGTGTTTGCCTGTATAGTCATCCTTGCGAAGCGTCAAACAGGTTTGGTTTTGACATCTGGAGCTATTCACGGTATGGGTGCAATTCGATGGAAATCAGTATCTAAATATATATAGTGTATTCCAGAGTGCTTGGAACTTGTTGACTATTATATAATACAATTTTTCTTTCGTGGCAAAAAAAATATATACACCTGTTACACCTGATGAGCCTGGACACGGTGGGCCTGCATGGTTGGGACAGGCAACCACTGCCCTGCCTCCACTAAAAAAAAACTGCCCTGCCGCCCCACCAAAATTGCTACAGAAGCGCCGCCTAGCACCTCGCGGCGGGCGCTTTCCTTTTGTCTCGCGTTTTTGGGTACCCCCGAAACGGCAGCAAACCCCGCACCCCGAGGAGATGGCCGCCCACCTCGGCGCCTCCGCGTCCGCCGGCGAGGAAGCGTTCTGGACCGCGTGCCCACACTGCTGCTACGTGCACTCATTCCTGCGTCTCTACCTTGGGCGCCGCCTCCGCTGCCCGACCCCGGCCTGCCGCCGAGCTCCCCGCGGCGCCGCCTATCGTCCCTGGCGCTGACATGTACTTCTGCAGCTGGGCATTCTTTCCACTAGGCCCGCCCGTCACCGCCAACAGTTGGGTGCCCTTCACCACATTCCATCCCTTCAATCCCCCGCCATCACCCTGCCCCGCCCCAAACCCCGCCGCCGCATCCGCCGACACGCCACCCCGCGCAGGCCCGACTTCCAGGATGAAGATGGGCGTGTGTTTCAAGGGCAGGGCACGGGCTGAGGCGGAGGACGAAGAGGAAGAGGCCGCAGCCGCCATTGATCTCGAGGTCGAGGCCGAGGAGGGTGTGCTCGGGGAGCAATGGGACAGCGACATCGCCATCAATGAGACGGTGGACCTCAGCGAGTTGGGCTTCCGCGTCGACGAGATGGGGGTCCTCCACGATTTGCCGTGACCGATCGAGGGGGGATGAATGGAAGGTTGTGCCTTTTGATCATAATCTTGCTCTTGTTAATGCTGCCTACATACCAACAGCTCAACTGGGTAGATGGTTGGTTGGGAAACTGAAAACCGCGCTATCAAACAGGCGTGCTTTTGTGTATGCTTAGTTTAGTATCAGATGGAAATGTAGAGCTTTTAGTGCTTCAAAGTCGTTGAATATTGTGATCAAACGTCATGGGGATGGATATGCAGAATGTGGCTCCTTTTTGTGTGGACTTGGAGGTGCACAGTGGGGTCCATGTTCATACCTTGCTATGAACTTATGAAGGAGTTTGTTTAATGCTGTGTTAATCTATGTGAAATCTTATTCTTATTTTGTGTCTGATTTCGTCGGACGGTACTGTTATCTTGAGTTTGATATCTCTTTTGATTACTGTTGGTTTTTCTGAAAAAGAAATGTGAAACGATGAAGGTTGGTACTGCTCAAGTGTCTTGTGTATGGATTTTCTTGTGTAAAGATTCTACAAGGTTGGGCAACATTTTTCTTCAATGGGGAGGGGTTGCTGCTGAGTGCTATTTAATTGCCTTGTGTTTAATCAGAGTGAAATGCTTAAGATATTTGGCACCATTTTAGTTTCATGTTCTCTCTGGTTTCACCTTGAAAGTTAAAATTTATAATGGCCATTCGAAGGTCCCCACCTCATGGAACTGGCAGATTTGATTTTTCTGATGGAACGCTATGGAGATAATGATGCAAAATGTAGCTCCTTTTTTGTTTGGATTTGGTGGTGTAATGTGGGATCCATGCCTTGTAAGAAGAAGTTTGGTTAGTTATGTTAATCTACATGGTCTCTTGTGCCTGGTTTCCTCTTATCTGGAGGATATCCTTTTAATTATTGTAGATTTTTTTTTGAAAAAATGAATTATGAAGTAATGATTCTTGATCCTGCTCAAGTGCCTTATATATGGGCTTTCTCAAGTAAAAGTTCTAGGCAATGGACACGACTTGATGTTCAGAGTGAAACGCTTATGATGTTTGGCACGATTTTAGTTTCATGTTCTCTATTACTGCATCATGTCATGGTGGCTGATTTGATTTGTTTTACATTGTTGACAACGGAATCATATAGTGTTGCTTCTTGTTTTCATGTTGTGTGATCTTGATATTCCCATAATGTAATGATGTGATTTTTTTTTTCAATGATGTGGTATTTTGTTGGTGAAGCTTCTGATGTTGATTTCTCCTTGTTTGATATATTTATCTTTGGTTACAAATCTTATGATGTTGGTAATACTTGGTTTAATAGTAATCTGTCAGGTTCTCCAAGTTTGGTGATGCTGAATCTTATTCATCATTTACAATAAAGATATAATGTCTAATAAGGATGGGTTCATACAAAATTTGCTGCATTTCATGTTTCTTTTCTGTTATGGTTGCGTCTGATCTGATCTAATAGTCTTGGCATCCTTATACACAGTGTTTTGTTCGAATGCTTGTGGTGCCCGGCACATTCTCCCTGATTGACATTTATCTTTGGTTAGTGATGATATAAATTGGTGGATTGTAATTATCATATAAGATGAGTGTGGCTGGATCATAATGTGATCTTTCAAGCTTACCAAGTTTTTGCAATGGGTATTTTTTTTTTTTTTTTTGCGAGGAGGGTATCTTAGTTACAGAGAGAAAAACAGGATCTTTTTTTGTTATTGATCTTTGCTTCCGCTTAGGACATCTGGTGTTTATATTGGATTGCTCATAAAAATCATGAGTGAAGAGGCTGACTTTTGTTAACCACCACCTAGAAGCTGATGGCTTTCACTTCCAATTGGGCCAATTTGGTATTTGATTTACATCATGCATGAAAATGTGGAGTGAAGAAGTTGCAACTTTTGTAAAGCTATAAGCTAATGCCTTCTCTTCCGATTTGCACTTGTCATGAAATTCTGGGCCAAAGAGGTTTTCGTCTTGTTTGTTGCTCTGTCCACAGTTGTACCAGTATTGTGCCTTATGTTAGCTTGACAGAAGTTTATGGTGAAAAAAGGATTCAGGCTCAACAAAGGATGCTCAAAACATCAAAATTCTGCTAAAAACTTAGAGACCGTTTGGTAGTTTGGAGCAGTTCCAAAACGGTTTGGTAGAGAAATGTTTCCCTAATGAATCACTTGAATCGACTCTCCTTTTTTGCCTACAAGCCAGAAGCGCACACCGACTAGTTTCGCCAAATTCTATTTCTTGGCTCCTCTCTAATCTTTTTTATGTGCAAGTTTCGCCAATTTCTTGGCTCCTTTCTATACTAGGGGTTGTAATCTTTTTTAAGTGCAATAAATTAAAGTGGGTTGTATTTAAGTAGTTCTTGACCCACAAAAAGTTTTGAATTTTTTTAACAATAGTCTCATTCATATGGGTTTTTATGGAAAAACATTTTTTTAGAATCAGAATCTAGTCAACAACAGCAACAAAGCCTTTAAGTTCCAAACAAATTAGGGTAGGCTAGAGTTGAAAGCCAGCAGAAGCCATCAAGGTTCAGGCACATGAATAGCTGTCTTTCAAGCACTCATATCTAAGATTGAGTCTTTGGGTATATTCCATCCTTTCAAGTCTCCTTTTATTGCCTCTACCCAAGTCAACTTCGGTCTTCCTCTGTCTTTCTTCACGTTACTATCCTGGCTTAGGATTCCACTACGCACCGATACATCTGGAGGTCTTCGTTGGACATGTCCAAACCATCTTAGAATCTAGTCCACCAACCAAATAATTTTGCAAAGTAATTATAATTCTTCACCTGAAATGTTTCTTCAGAAAATCTTATTTTGTTGTGGTGACTCATTTGAGTTTTTTTTTTGTGTGGTTAATACGGACATCATATTAGCTAAAGATTTGTGAGCGGTGATCTGTGTTTGCAAGTGTCATCCTAGACAATCGGCCACCTGACAATCTTTGCATATAAAAGCATCTGATACTTCGCGTGTTGCACGTGGGGGGCATAGCTGCTTCTTTTGTTTCCACCGCTACTTATGGGGCTATACAGGCTACGATTAAAAAGGAGAAGAACATGAACAATCAATGGCATGCCATCATCTCGAAAACTGATATATACCACTGACCAATTAAACTGATACTACGCGCGGTCACAAACACAAGCAAGTGGATCTCATCATCTCATGTACAAGGCTCCCTCCTATACTCGCCATTGGCATTTATTCAACGCCTTCCAGCCTTCCAGGATTTGACAAATCCATCGTAGCTTTCCATAGTTCATCACTACTCTACTACAGGCACTCTGGCACGCTGAGATCCAGTGAAGAGCTTGGCAATGTCAGACATAATTCTCCCTAGTGCTGTTCTTGAGCCTCTAGGTATTTCAGGTTGCCTCCTTGTATGGGTAGAGCGATGACTTCAGGAACGCTGCATTAAAAGATCAACATGTAAATTCCGGGTCGAAGGAAGAGCAATATGTTTGGTTTTATAACCTCTTGGTTCATACCAACAAACAGTATAAGCTTGAATAGTCACATGGAACTTACTCATATTCATGGTTGGCTTTCACATGTTCAGTCAAAGCATCTAGAAGAGATTCCCTTGTCTTAATAATGAGCAACTCTTCAGCATCACTTTGCACCTGACAGCAAGTCAGTCGTTGGTCACCAAATTACTACCTTCAGTCATAAAAACATGTCGTTTATGAATTTATGACAAGATTTAGTCAAACCTTATAAGCTACAAAGATCACTAATTTTTAAACTACTGTTTGAAAAATACAAATTGTATACTTGTATGTGTAGAATTGTATCGAAAAACGCTTGCAGAATCTCTTAAAGAATTTTAAGAATATATTCTAGGACATATTAGCGGTCAAAGATGCATATTGAAGACAGTGCAAAGTCAAATATGACAAGTATTTTTGACCGAATGGAGTAACAAGTAAAACTGTTGAATTCATTGAACAGGTGAAACATCCATTTAACCTGGCCAAAAAAATAGATTAATATACTACCTTTCCCTCCCACCAATAGACGGATTCAATGCCTGAAAAGAGGAGCATTTAGAAAATTTTAAGTACAGAATATTAGCAATGTAGCAAATATCCATGGCAAGAACTACATAGACAGGACAAGATCAACACATTGCTTGATTGTAATCCCACTTTCATGCAATCTCTTGGTTCATTTGTCAATAGCACAGTAATCCATTTTCATGTTACTGCAAAACACAACTTGAGAAATTTAGGCAGCTGCTGCACCAACTCTGCATAGACAAGCAAGCATGCATCTGACTTGCGCATACAACAGGTATCATTTTGTTCACATCCATTCCAGTGCAGGCGCACATGCAAACAGATGTTGCCCACAGATAAGCAGTCTTAACAAATGTCAGATGCTCAAGTGAATTCAACTAATAGACAAACACACTAATTATTTTAACTTCATATTGTATTGTTGTTTCTTGTTTGCATAAGCTCCGTTAAGTTACGTGTTCACTATGGTTTTGATCTGAGACCCATTTGATTCGTGTTACACAAATGTAGCTGAAATAACGGTGCTGCATAGCACTAAATATGGACAAATGACGCTTGAACAATGATGATAGTGGAATTGATGATTTTTATTTTGAAAATGAAATTTGACATGGCCATCCAGGCGAAGACCTTTTTGTCATTACTTGCTATCGCTGTACTCAAGGACACATAGATTTCAGGATTATGCAGTTGACTAAAGGACCACACAAATGATGAAATTACACCGAAGAAACAGAGAAGTCATTTGGAGTGAATATGATGTGTTGCAGTGCAACATATGCTGAAAGATAGCCAATTGATAAAATTCATTTAACTAAGCATGTACAGCTGCAAATAATGAAACTAGAGAAAGAATGTAGTTCCTACCAGGCACGATGTTAACACAAGCTGCAAGCTTCTCACTAATAATGCTTCCAGCTAGCTTCTTGCCTACAGGGGAAAAAACTTTTAATGGTGCTAAAGGAAAAAGGCTATGTTATCAACATAGAAAACAATT